CCATGGTTGCATCCCCAGTCTGGGAATTTCTGGATTTATTTCATTTGTGTTACTCGGATCACACGAGCAACTAAACTGAAACATGGGGGATAGGGGGCCTGGTCACACACAGGCCCCCACTTCCCCCTCCCCCTCTAGCACACATGCACACCCTCCTATACAGTACACACAGAACTTCCACTGCTGTTTCTAGGAGCGGCACAAGTCATCTCCACGTGCTAGCTACCTGCCTGAGCTTCCACAAGTCGCGACCCGAGTCAAGCTCCAAAGACCAAGCAGTACTACCACGTCCTCAAAAAAGGAAGAATCAAACAACTGACACCATTTGATTGATACTCCACTCCTGCCATGAACAGAACCAACCACCTCCTCCCTCAACACACAGTGAGCAGAACCAGAAGAGCCTGGGAAGAAAATCCGTCCGTCTTTTGTCGTAGCACGCGGAGAAGCGGAGGCATCCGCGCCATGGCGCAAACCATCCTCCTACCTTCATTATCCATGGGCACCACCATCCCGACACCGCTGACAACGATGCTCCTGGTCTTCGTCATCCTCCCCCCCCTCCATAACCCGCACAGTTCGCTATACCATGACTGAGGTATGCAGAAGGCAGACAGGAGAGGCTAAGACGAGAGATGGCACTACGACACAGAAGTATGTCTCAACCCCCTTCTCCCTTCCCCCTCTCGGCCAAAGAACACGACAGACCTCTCGTGCATGAAACCAATCCATCGGACACAACTCTTCTTCATTTTCTCATGGGTGACCACCCAGAATACAGAGAAAGGGAGTTCCATGGGGCCCCCGTTTCCCCATCAAGAAGAATACCTCGAAATGTTATATCAGAAGCGGCCAAGAGACCTCCAACCCCGGACGCCTCATTAGGAGAAACGCACATGTTCTCATGAAACCATGGAACCGAAGGAGAGCGAGTGCACACCGACGAGCCGACAGATCATACAGTGACAGTCAGTACCCCCTTGACAGACGTTAAGGGAAGGAGAAAGGGGCAGGCGGTGACTGAAAAGGGAAGGGGACCGTGGGGGACATGGAAAATGAGGAGGATGGCTCGGACTACAGCACTTGGAGGGTAGACGTAACACGAATGGGCTGGAATACTACACCGGAATCTACAACAGTTACCACAGTACTACTGCCGGATTATTCTTCACGAATTGGTTACAAAATTCACTCCTCGGTTCAAATGTGAGTATGGGACTCATGGAACAGAAAATGCAAGAAAATGCAGCTACAAAGTCCAGGGCTGACCTGGGTTCACTTCTTCATCAGCATCATCATGGGGATTACGGAGGTCAAGCTCGCGGGGCTTCAGTGGATACACATACACCACTGCGTCCCCACTGCAGCCTGGTGCACATTTAAGAAAAAAATAAAAAAAAATGAAGGGGACAGAGGGAAACACGGAATGGGCAGAAGGAGAAAGGGGCAGGCGGTGACTGGAAAGGGAAGGGGCCAGGGGGGGACACGTGAAATGAAGGGGACAGAGGGGAACACAAAATGGGGCCCAAAAGCGAAGCCGAGTGTACCCGAAACGACCGTCTACCTTCAAAGGCAACCAATATCCTGCAGTCTCTTCCCGTCCGACCCTGTACCTTCATCCGAACCCACCATTCACCGCGTAAGTCGCATTTTTATTTATAAAATGAGATTGCCCGCCTTAGTTCTGCGCTTCGTGTTTCCTCCCCCTGTGCCTCCCTTTCAGCCCCATCATTTCGCACTGCCGCGCCGCCAACGAACACCCAAGTAAAACACCCAAGTCAAACACCCAAGTCAATTCCGAAGCCCTATCAGCGATGTGGGAGTGAACGCTTCACTCCCCTTCCGTCTTTCTAACAGTTTGTTGACAAAACTAAAACCAGGAGCACCACGCAGATGAGCTGTGACCACCTACCCGCCCCCCAAAATGTACGACAACATCCAGCAATCTCGACGCTTGAACAATTAACCTTTGGGGAGGCACATTTAGATCAGCTGCACATGCCAAGACGTCGTCTGAGATAGGATACGTGGAAGAATAGCTAGACGACTGGACAATCGTTCAATGACAGACGTAAAGTAATGGAGCTCGTCATATCAAACGAAAGAGCCGCAGAGACTTCCTCGTTCCTCGACTCCACCCGCCCGCCCCCTCCAGTCTCTCCTTAGCCAATGCATTCCCGTTGATTTTTTTTGCGACAGATCGACTCCCCCTAACCCCGTTCCTCCCAGCCCTCCATCAACCCTGTGGTGGACCAGTGCAACGTCACTCGTCGACATTTTTCCATGTGTCCCTCCGTTCTTGATGATCGTCTTGAGCCTTCGTCTCCTCACTTGCCACTGGCTGACCGCCTGCGCGATGGACGCAGACTTACGGGTGTGCCCTTCACATGTGCGCTGCGCTTGCAACACGGCTCGCCTACCCATCTCTCTCTCTCTCTCTCTCTCTCTCTCTCTCTCTCTCTCTCTCTCTGTTTTCCATGTGGAACGATCGAAGGTATAGTCTTTGGGTGTCTGCAAAAAACTCATCCATACTCTCTCTCTCTCTCTCTCTCTCTCTCTCTCTCTCTCTCTCTCTCTCTCTCTCTCTCTCTCAATCGATGGTTTCCCTTTGCCAGGAGAAACAGACAAAAGCCGGAAACCTCGCTTTCCTGGAGGCCACAATGGCGGTTGGAAAATCGACAATATCGACTGCAACACCTCCGGAGAAGTACAACTCCCGCCTCCCCTCCATAATGCCACAATTGTGCCATCACAAGTAGGGTTTGTCGAGAAACAGATCCGCCACGGGAGACGTGCCTGATCACGGCAGACCCACACCGAAGGAGGGAATCTCCTCGCACGTACAAGGCTCGTAGTCCTTCGTGTAAGAAAGAAGAGGATAGATGAATATCGACAGACGTTTCGGTAGAGCCCCAAAGAAATACCAGGTCATTGGATTGGAGAATGCAGCGTAACCGAAGCACCCTGACGAAGCAGCAAGCGTCCACATGCCACTGCTAGAGTCAATCATACAACACACGCACACATACACACATACAGAGGGACCTAACTACACTTGTTCATACAAGTTTTCTCCATCATACTTTGCGAAGCGTTTACCGGCAGCGGGAAGAACCTCTTACCGTCCGGGCAGGTAATAATTTTATCACCCTCGTCGCTCAAGGTACAGTTTATTGTCCTCACCTGCCGGTGGCAATCCCAGTAACGGGTATCGACGCAATCCATATACTTGCACCACGAGCATGCTTTATTCCCGTCGACGTTGAGCAACACGAACGCGGTGGCGGAGGCGAATCCGAACAGCAGCAATGCAAAGGCGATGCAGCGCATAGTTCTCTGGAACTGGTTATGTTTCCTCTTGGGCGGGGCACCTGAACGGATAACATACGGATCGTCCGTCGGGAGAGGAGGAACCGGGTACACAGTGTAGTCCTTGTAGCCATTGTACTTAAGTTGAATGTTATCGGCGAGGTACCCGAACTGCGGCTTCACAAGGAAGACGAACCCAAGAAGCACGCCGGAGACAAATCCTCCAATGTGAGAGAAATTGTCGACGTGAGGAGTCAATCCGACGAGGAGATTGACGACAATCAAGAAGATCAACGTGAAGAGCGTGCTGATTCGCCGGCCGTAGATGGTCCAATTGACGATCAATTCTGCCAACGTGGCACCTAAAAGGCCAAAGAGAGCACCGGAGGCGCCCACTACGATCACACCTCCCGCCAAAAGCAACGCGCTCATCAAACTCCCGCCAAAAGCGCTGACAAGGTAGACAAGCAGTGTTCTCCACGCGCCAAATTCCTGCTCAAGGCGCAATCCGATCACGAGCACACCCAGCATGTTCAGCACAAGATGGACAACGCCGGCATGAAGCCAGACATACGAAAAGAGCCGATACTTGTTCTTGTGCCGCTTCCGTAACAACTCCGTTTCCAGCGCGCCAAAATTCAAAAGCGTTTCCGCCAAAGGGCCGATCATCGGATTCATCTTCAGCGGCTCAAAAGAGAAGCGACCGAGAGAAGGGAGGACGCATTTGTTGGCTGCAGCACCCCCGTTCTCGGGACAATTGTTCCTGTACATAGAAATGACAAACACAACGCAGCAAGCTATGACGATGGCGGGAACAAGCCATGTGCAGCGTCGACAGCAGACCCGGTCTCCCTTTGGCTTGCGACGCCCCCCTGAAGAAGAATCATCTGGGACGCCTCGTGAGTACCCCTGCTCAGTGCCATACGGGGATTCGCGCCCCCCAGCATTGCTTGAAGAAGAGGGTGACCCTCCTCCACCTTGGCGCGCTCCTGCTCGCCCGCCGCCTCCTCTTGCCGTTCTTGCCCCCCCCTCGACGGAGCTCCCTCCTCGGCCTCTGCTTTCTTGCGGTCTTGATGTCGAACCTATCAGTAACGGCTGGGGGGCATTCCAGTCGTCCTCCGTTCCCGAGGTCCCCGCGCTGACTCGTGCCTTGTGCTTTCCTCCCCGCCCTCCCTCTCTTGCCCTCTCCGCCCCTCCACTACCACTCCCCACAGGCAGGTAATACGGCACGCTTCCTTCGCTCGCTGTTCTTCCTCCCCCTTCTGCGATCTCCCTTCCCCAATTACCCGCCGCCGGTGAAGCTGACGGAGGCCGCGTGGACATGTCATCATCCTCATCATCATCATCATCTTTCCAACGCCGCTGCCTCCGCTGCTGCTGCTGCTGTTCCTCCACCCTGTCGCGAGTTCCCCCCCCAGTCATCAGCGGCGGATAAAGGGATCCATCTTCCCTGATTAAGGAAGTCGGCGCTGTGGGAAAAGGAGAGACCGCCACCCCACCCGTTTGTGTTGCTCCTACCCCTCCTCGTCCGTTTGCCGGCGCTCGGCGACCCTGCTGGTGTCCCCCGCCACCTTCATCGAGCGACAGCCATGGCTCTGCCGCCGAGGAGAACTGAGACGGGGATGTCGGGGGCGGAAGGCGAGAGGGCGAAGAGGAGAGAGATTCGTCTCGCAATGGCACGTGATATTCCGTGGGCTGAGGTGGCAGCGGCGGCGCCGTAGGGCCTGTAATATCCCATTCTCCTCTCTCGACCTCGCTGTTTCTAGAGATAGGAACGTCTCGCCACGCCCCCGCCGGCCCCATCGCAATCGCTCGCCCGCTTATATCCTTTCTAAATAAAGTAAAACACTTACGCAACCAAGCAATGTGAAACGAAGAAGAAGAAGAAGAAAGGAAATACTAGTAATAAACACAGAGCGCGCAGGCAGATAAGAAATCCCGCCGACTCACAAGCACCGCGCGAGAGAAACTCGCTATCTAGAGAGAGGAATAAGCAGCCGAACTGAAAGACATACTTGTAAGAAAAGATACACGGAGGAAAAGCAGAAGGGAAAAAAAAACAAAAAAAACAAAAAAAACAAACACAAAGTAGAGAACAAACTGAACCCAAGCCCCCCAAGTCAAGGAGGCATCCCCTACAAATCGAACACAACCGCGACGTGTTTTTTTTCTTTAAGAGGTCGACCAGACAGTAGACGGACGACACACGTGGACGAAATGACAACAACTGCAAAGAGGGGGGGGGGAGGGAGGGGGGGGAGGGAGGGGGCGGAGGGAGAAACCGATGCCGATGGATATGAGTGAACGGATTTGATAAACAGGTCCGGAGATTTAGAAACGGACTACTACATAAAAAATAAAAAATAAATAAAAAAGAAAAAACAGGCTACTACTACATGCAGGCACAGAGCCGTCGTTGGACACCGCGGACGGGACTGCGTGAAGAAGTGAAGTGCGCTGCAAGGTTAGCGACGATGAAATGCGACAGCCCGGTCTTCCTGGTGGACGTCGTCGTCAGCATCGGGCATCTGTTTTCTCGTGCGAAGTGCGATCGAGCCAGCAGGGCACACGTCTATTTCTCGACTGCCAAGCCCGGTCACAGGCGGAACTCCCCTCTTGGCCGTCAGGAGCGTCAAGAGCTCTCGAATCTGCCGCGCTACTTCTTCTTCTAATTAATTTTTCGTTTACGTCCTCCCCCTTCTCCTCCTCTCCTTTTTTATGCTACGTGTCCATTCCTCGCCCGGACGTACTTGCGGTCAGATACACCCAGGAAAGTGGTAGTGTGAGTACTTCCGTACCCGGAGAAGAGACTAAACGCGTTAACAAATCTGAGAGAGAGAGAGAGGAAGAGAGAGGGGGGGGGGAGAGAGAGAATGTGAGAAAGGAGACAGGGACAGAGAGAGAACGAGAGAGAGACTGTGAGAGAGAAGACAGATAGAGAGAGAGGGAGAGCGGAGGAGGAGGGTGGGTGCGAAAGCGAGTGAAAACGGTAGGGAGTAAGTTGGAATGATAAGAACACTCTGAGCTGATGGACGGCAAAAGCTTGCAGCAATCAAGGGATGGATTATGGGTAGCTACACGACGGATGGATGGTAAAAAAATTGACAAATTCCAGACGTGCAGAGCTTGGCACTCAAGGATGAGGTGGCTGCATTCGAGAACAAGTGAGCAGGAATGAAGATGATCAGACTGTGGCAGCAATCAATGGGTTCTACGAGAAAAAAGAAAAATGGCGGGAAAAACTTCCGATGTTTCCCGCCATTGAACTTGCCGACAAAGGTAACTTTTCCCGCCACAGAACTTGCCGACAAATGTAACTTTTCCCGCCACAGAACTTGCCGACAAATGTAACTTTTCCCGCCTGTCCTGCAGCCCCCCCCGTATGATAGGTGCTCAATATATTTGGTATTTACCACCAACTTCTAATTTCAGCTTCATCCTGATCGCTGCTCCGCAGATGAACTACCGGTCGTTGTCTCTCCCATGGATCGCTGCTCCGCAGATGATCTACCAGTTGTTGTCTCCCATCGGAGTCGTTGGATGGAGTAATCTTTTTCCATCATGATCATTGATACTCCTCAACTCCTTCATATCGACGACGACTACTTCTTTTCTTTTTTCAAACCTTTTCCACTCCTTATCCACTACTTCCTTTTTTTTAACTCCTTATCGACTCCTCCAGCTCATTCCTCATTAACCAACTCCATCAGCTCACTGCTCGCCCTCCCCTCGCTTCTTCATAAAGAACACAGGACCGAATCTCGAATCAAATCAATGATAACGTAAGACTCTCTTTCCTAACAAGTGTGTGTTGATTGGCTGGACAAATTTCGCCCCTTGTTGCATAAGAAAAGGTGAGGACAAAGAGAGAGAGAGAGAGAGAGAGCACGAGATCAGCCGTCCGTCGTCCGCATCCTCATTCAATCCGAGTAGTAAATGCGTTCTCTTGTTCTGTTTTGAACGCGCGTTCACTCAGCTCCCACGCGCGATCCTCAAAAGCTGCATCAATAGTAAGTCAAGAGAGAGTCATCAGTTTGCATAAGTCAATAAATTAGCAAATATTGTAAAATAGCGAAGAAGGGATGGGCTTTGAATGGCAACAGCGATCACGATCGCTGAATTTTCTCATCAAAGCCAACAGACCGGCAGGACCTCGCTCCAGGGCGGCTGCCACTTCTGGGTGCCCGGGGGGGGGGGGCGGGGTACCGTCTTTCCCCGAGTAGAACGCACGGTCATTATATACCGCGTTTATTTGGGGCATGTTCCAGTCTACGCACGCCGATGATAATGACCGTGGTGCGTTCTATTCGGGGGAAAGACGGTAGGGTCGTTAGTTAATTTGGTCATATATCCGATCGTCAATCCAACCAAGCAAGGAAGGCCTCTACCCCATCTCCCCCCGAACAGAACGCATACGCGTTGTATTTGAGTAGAACTCGTATACGAAAATTCACCGGCTCCAATAGTTTCTTTTTGTTCAAACCTTCTGCACCAATGAATATGATTTTGTCACATGGAGTTTGTATTGCGATTACAGGTGTTATCTTATCCAGTACCCTCAGAGAATACTCACCATGGTCTTCTAAAGAATTTGTAAAAGAAGAATATCATAAAAAGTTGATCGAACAGAATTACCAAGTTTTCTTTTTTCAAGTATTTCTTGAGTAGAACTTGTATAAGAAAAGAAGAATGAATAAACAGAAATTGGATTCACTGTCGGCCGATGGAATATTTGGGCTGAGTGGTGAATTTTGGGATTATGCCAAAGACGTGGGGTCTCCGACAACCCCCTCCGATCCGCAAAATGAAGGCCCAAATGGACCCTCATTTTGCCGATCGGAGGGCGTTGTCGGACACCCTGCGCAAAACGCGGGCCCAAATGGATTTTAACGAGTCGTCTGCAACTCCCTAACTACCTAGTATCATCGTTTTTTTTTTCCGCTTGACCAGACAAAGGATCAATCATTGTCCATTATTTGTCTTTAATGATGATGACCCAAAACCGCCACTTTATACTGCGATCCACCACGCCCCATTTCGCCGATCCAGATTCCACTTAACTGACCTTTGCCGTTCTCTCTCTCTCTCTCTCTCTCTCTCTCTCTCTCTCTCTCTCTCTCTCTCTCTCTCTCTCTCTCTCTCNCTCTCTCTCACACACACACACACACACACACGAGATGCACGAGATCACTCGATTTGGTGATCGGCCGATCGTTTACACACTCCACACGCAATTTGTATTAAATTGTTGCCTATCCGTGCCGCACGCCTCGTTATATCACCATATACTTCACCTTCTCCCCTTCTTCTCTCTCTCTCTCTCTCTCTCTCTCTCTCTAGAGAAAGAGAGAGAGAGAGAGAGACCCTCGAGAGAGAGACTCTCTCTAGAGAAAGAGAGAGAGAGAGAGAGATTTTATTTTTCTTTCTTCATCTCCATGTATGCGTGTGTGCGCCGAGGACGGAGGAATAGTGCGATGCCACCCAACCTGACGCTACATACAGAGTTGGGGATGTTGAGCTGATTAGAAAATAGGCGGCGGGTTTTCATTTTCGCGTGAACGGGAGTACAATTGCTTTCTCCGCTGTGTTTGGGTTAGCTGGGATTGAGAAAGGATGTCAGGGGAGAAATAGAGGAGGGGGAGGGGAAGGAGAGGCGGAGGAAAGGACAGTGTATATGAGGAAGAAAGGCCAGGAGAAAATAAAAAAGAAATGCCTGGTAAGATTCCCACCAAAACGCCTCCTTCGAGATCGACCATAGAAAAACAGATGAACATTTACGACTTCCCCAAAATGCAGAAAGAAAGAGAACTAAACAGTAATTTCAATGGAAATTGCTCAAAGGCACGATCGGGTCGGAAGACAGTTTTGTCTTTTGTTCAACCAACCACAGACCATTCGGATTCATTCTGCAATGACCCTGTGCATCATATACGGCCTCGCTCCACTACTCTCCGGATGTGCAAAATGAGACTGAATCCTCCCCCCCCTAGAACCTGGCAAGATACAACGCCATACTTTTTGTGTTTTGTGCATGTGGAGAGTAGTGGAGCGAGGCCCATAAACTCGCTTGCACAGTTCTGTCCCAGAACCCACGCAGTCAAGTAAGCGGCTCTTTCCTTGGCCGTTTAGTGTAATAAGGAAGACTACGTGCCCAGGACAGCGCTCACACACACACACACACACACACACACATCATCATCATCGACACACACACACACACACACACACACACACACACACACACACACATCATCATCGACACACACACACACACACACACACACACACACAAACACAAACATGGCAATACAAACATACTTTCTCTTTTCCAACATACACAGTTATTTAGTTTAGTGTTTGACCGGTCAAGCGTTGACAAAAGGAGAAAAACAAGGGGTCATGAAAGACTGGTTAGTCGGACGTTCAGCAGCTTGCCAGGATGCTCGGTAGCGACAGTAAAAGAACTTCAAAGAAGAAGAAAGAAAAAGGGAGGTGAAGAAAGCCGAAGGAAAGGAGAGGGACAACGGAAGGATAAGCGAAGCTCACCTTTCCCGCGAAGCGCGGAAAACATCCCGCCGCGATCGCCACTCGGCGTGGGTGCGGTGCTGGCATGGGACTGGGACGCTAGGGTTGCATCGTGGAGCTATCGTAGGCAGGTGGCGCGGACCTGGCTGTGCCGGCGTTGCCCGCTTGCAGTGTGCGACAAGCAGAACGGAACATCACTGCACCACCTCGGAGAGGGGCCCAGCCCTAACACTGTGCGACAGAGTGGTGGAAGGAGGAAGGGAGGACGGGTGGGAATCATACTCCGACAAAATGCAGAGGACAGATAGCGTATCGTTGCACTACTCTCCACTCTCCGACGAAAAATCGGATAATCAGCGGACGGAGAGCTGAAAAACTCTCCAAATTCGTGACTTTTGGATCACCGCTGCGGCGCTGCACCAACTCCCCACTCTCTAGACTCCAAGGGCCTCGGCACACCACTGTCGAAAACCCGTTTTTCAACAGTGTCTCTTCGCCACACCAGGGGCAAGGTCCCACTTGCACGGAGTAAGAGATTGTGGCCGTTGATCTTTGCTATCTACGGTCAATATCCCTTAATTCGTGTAAGTGGGACCTAGCCGCAGCCGTAGAGACCACATGTGTCGGAAAATATTCCATAAATGTCAGAATTTAGTAATTTACGGTTTTTTTTTTTTGTTTCCAAAAGAAAAGGGCGATTTTTTTTTTGGGAGCGCTGGTACCGGGCGGGTAGCGGTAGCGCTCCGGTACGCGTTTCACCGCGCGCAGCGCTGTTTACCCGCGAAACTCGCCGTCACGACGGGAAGAGGGACGAAGGAAGTGCACGGCCCTCGTTGGGTGGAGGCTATGACTCAAGGCATCTCTCCTTCCCGAACAGTCCACAGCGATGGTAGGGTAGGAAGCATCCATAGCTAAGCATCCTTGGGAGAAGTGCGACGGTGTCCTAAGTGCCTAATGGCCGACGAGATAAATGAGTAAAAGAAAGTCTCGACCTAAAATTACGGAGATAGATCTGCTTACCATGGTAAAACGCATGGTACAAGCGACGAGCTAGGTCGTAAGAGGATTACTGTTCATGTCCCTGCGATAGTTTGTAAGCCACGTTCTTGAAGAAATTTACAATTGATACAACCCGTTTGTCCCCGCCGAAAGTCGATCCAATCTAGGGTGCAGATAGGGTCGTGCCGTCAGCTATTGTTTGAAACACAGAACAGCATATTCCCGATTCCGCCAAGAGGGATCTCGGGCTGTCGTACGGAGCCGTTCAGATTGCCAGAGTGAGAGGATGTTCCCTCCTTGGCCACGGTTCGACCACTTCGTCCCAGCGGGGAGCTATGGAAGGGGTAATGGGGCGACTGCCGCGTTTTCATCACCGATGTCACCTGAGGGCATAAGACAACAACTCGTCCAGCTGGCAGATCGAAGTTGAGACACGTCACGCGTAGCGCCGAGCTCAAGTCCACCATCGGGCTCCTCGGCATCTCTTCTTTTCTCCCCAACTCCCGAAATCTGATCTTGGCTGTAGCTGTTGTACGAGCAGTGGACAGTACCTCCCTCCTTCTCCACCTCGAGGGTCTAGCGCTGCCCCGGTCAGACATGATAGGTGCCGGAAGCTAATGTGGGAACAATTAAGCTCCGAGAGGTCCGTGTTTAAATTAGTGTGAAAGGGAATAGCAATTCGAGGCAGAATGTCTGAACTAACTAGCACCTACCTCCACGTTTAAACATCAGACTCGGCACTCTATGAGCTAGAAGCAAGGAGTGAAGTAACATATCCCAGCAACGCAGACAAGGACAAAACGCAGGGCAGATCCACACGGAAGATGGAGGGAGCCACGTGACCAGAGAACCCATCCAGTACAAGCAGATACATCCCACCAAGCCGTCGAACTTCTGGGCAGCAGCAAGCAGGCTATGAAAGAGGTGCAGCCCCGGGCGCATCAGGAAGACAGGAGCAGACGGCACAGCCAAGGCAACAACGAGAGACGGATGAATGGGTCCGGGTAGTCAGTGGGGAGATGCTACGATGAGGGCATCTGCCCGGATGGGCTGGAATTGGGAGAGGTGGTGGAGGATGAGAAAGGGAAAAGGTTTGTAGTATATGAGGAAGTAGACAATATTAAAGAAAGTTGGTTGAAAGAGAGAACGGTGATTCTAATCTTTCAAGAGGAGGCAAGGAATCTCTCAAGACAAATTAAGGAGGATCTGATCAGGGCATACGAAGATGGGTGGATGTCTCAGCATGTGTTCAACCCGGACACTGGAAGGGGTAGAATTAGATTTGAGGGTCAGAATGTAGTATCCTACGTGGCCAAGGCAAAGGAAGTAGCAGATTGGATGCTGAGAAAGAAGGAAGCGAAGCTGAAGTTGGGATCGAAAGAATACTTAACGATCTTCAAACCTTGGATTCCACGTCAGGAGCTGCGACACATAAGACTGCAGGAAGCAGAGACCAAGTTCTGGATCGTCCCCTTGAGAGTTCAACTCGACGCCTACTACTACTTAGGCGAGGCAGTCAGAGGCATGTTCGGGGGAATTTTGGAGGTGCATCCCCCCGAATATGACAGAACGCGCCCGAAGCTGATGAATGTCAAATTGGACATGCATCCGGACGCGAGATTTAACGTTGACGACGTTCTAGTGATTGAGTCTCCTAAAGGCGAGAGGTGGAAAGTGGAAATCGCCACCCCCTACACCGATTGGTGTAGGAAATGTAAGTGGTACTTCCACACCGAAGAGAACTGCCCGAGATCACGACAAAATGAAGAAGAGGGGAAGGAGGTGCTCGAGCGGGAGGCCACAAGGAACGGTTTTTCCAGCATACCATGAACAAGGATCAACAAGTAAGACGTGAAGGGGGACCAGACAACGTTCAAAGTCACAGACAGGACGAGGCTTCAAGGGCAGTGGAGGGGAACAGGCCTGACAGAGGTGACAGACAGAGTACCCGAACTCTTGCCCCTGTAAGGGCAACTCACAGTCAGCAGAGTCGTCCCCCAATCTACCCAAATGCCCATGCTACCCCACCACATGCGGTCGGAAGTCAAGAGGTGCAGAACAGATTGCTCAGGGAACAAGGGTGCCAGGGCTCTTCAGATCGGCATCCCCAGCCCTCTGGTGCCCCTAATTGGCATTAAAAAGCAGTCTCTGCTGGTGTTCATAGGGGGAGGGGTAATCGGGAAGGCACAGCAACTGGCCAGTCAGATGATGATCGGTCTTTTGCTACCAGTTGTCCCCTAGCCGTTGTCCCCCAACGGGTTTCCCTAAAGGCAATAAGGCCACCCTACGCTGAAAAGGCCACCCTGACCTGAAAAGGCCGCCCTGGCCTGAAAAGGCCACCCGGTGTCACATTAGACACAAGATTGAATTTACCTGGGCTTGTTAGTCCGAAGATAATACCTCAAGGCCATCGCCCTTTTTTTTTTTTTTTTTTTTTAATTTATCAGTCGTACTCATTTCATTATAGAACAGGTTCGAGGCCGGGGACCTCACATTTCAACCCGGAGTATCTGACAACATCAGTCAGCTAAGCTTACAGGCATTGCCTGCGGGACCCAATACTACAGGGTTTCCATACTACAGATCTAAGTGACATCGCACATTCACTTGGCCTTGAATAATGGTAGCTTGCTTTACGAATTAAGTTAGGATTTAACCTCCTATTCCTACTTAGGCTTACCTCCCACTGCTTAGCAGGGCACAACTACTTATCAATAATGGACTCTAGCCTTTCCTAAGTGAAGGTCTAGGACAAGCACGGCCCAGAGGAAAAACTTCCGGTTCCTACTGACACTCACCTAACCAGCCCACTGCGGCCCTACTGAACCGAGTGTCCTGGTTCGTGGGTGGACACTCTACCTCTTCTGCAGCATCTCTGTGGGACCGAGTGCCCTGATCACACAGAGATTTCCCACCTAACAGAATACTTTGATCCACTACTCCGCTAGCCTCCTATTCCATAATCCATTTTAAAACTACTAAACCTTGAACTGAGTGGATTGCAGCCAACCGGTTGTCACACGCCCAGGTACGGAGGAACCAGGTTTTCTGTTTCCTGCTACCTTTCCATGCCCGGGTTTTCCTTCGCCAGTCTACTCTGATGGCGTGCATGAGGCCTTCCTTGATTCTTCTCTTGATCTCTGTGTCCGACAGGGGTCGCTTCTCAAACCTTGCCTTGTTCCTGTCTGCCCAGATAGTTTCACAGATGATACCTCTGACCACCTGGGCAATGTAGCCCCAGCCACTCTTTCCACTCACACTTGTGGGGAGAAAACCCAGGAGCACCCAATGCTCGTTTCACTCTAACTGTACCCCCCCCATCTCCTTCCAGTGTTGCTCCCACCACTTCCACACTCGTTTGGATGCGCGGCATTCCCACCACAGATGTTGTGTGGATTCGAATGGCCATCTGCACCTTGAACATCCCAGCTTCACTGTCACTCCTCGGCTCAGCAGCCAGACAGCGGAAGGTGTGACTAGGAGAGACAGCAGCCATAGGATGCTTACCTGCTTCCCATTAGGAAGCTCTTTCAACTCTTTCCACAGCCGTTCGAACTTGGATTCTGCTGATGAAACAACATCTCCTACCACCTTAGACCACCTTGTAGCCTTCCCTTGCACTGTACTCGGACAGGAATAGTGACCCGGATTTTGCTCCGTCTGGGCTTGTTTTTTTCCAACTCCACGCTAGCGGATCTATCCGTAGCTGCCTGAGCGAGGATCTACCGACCCAGATCCGTGTCACCCCGTGTTCTCCTGGTTCTTGCCGTTCCACTATCCGGGCCTGTTAGGAATTATTCCACCGTTGCACTACTTCTTCACCCATCAACACCAACCTGTTCTCTTCCCCCACGCATTGCCATCTCTCTACCTTCCTGAAACCACTGGTCAGGATGTCTGTTGTCTTCCATACTACTTCCTCCCTTTCTTGTTCATTTGCCACATACCACGTGCCTATTGGGTCTACACCTTCTGGGCCAAGTATGTTTTTCCAGTCCTGCGGGATGGCCTCAATGAGTGCTTCCCAGTTGCCTTCTACCCGTCTAAGCCCCTGCAGTTGGGTTTTGATTTCCACCAGCGGTATCCAGTTACCGAGCAGGGGAGACCACAGGTCTCTTATCCTTGACACCCCCTTCTTCATCCAGGCGAGTCC